AGACTGTGCCAGACTGGGCAAGATGTTAAGGAAATGGAGGCCTCGGTGCTCTTCAGTGAAATGTTACCTGTCCCTGGAGGAGGAGACTGGAGGCAAGAGAAGTCGGTGCTGATCAACAGGCAGCTCAGGTGGTGAAGCTGCCAGGAGGGCTTTGGCATGCTTGACCATGGGGAGGACCGCTTGTTCATGGACAGAGGACTGTTCTCCTAGATTTCTGGATGGTGGTTGATACAACTGATTACAAACTTTCAAATAGGAGTTCAGGGAAGGCAAAGGGGAAATGGAAGAGAGGACATAGCACTGGAGAAAAGAGCAGCAGAGGGTTGGAGGAAAGAATGGGCCAGCATGGATGATATTGACAACCTTGGTTCACGTGATCATGAGCCAGTTCAGTTTCAATAAAAGGAAGGGTTATCCAGTCTGCAACAAGGGTCTTTGGTTTGACACGGGCAGACTTAATGCAGGGAATCAGGGGAGTGGATTGGCCTGAAGAACTCAAAGATCTGAAAGCAGAGGAGGCTGGGAATGACTTTGGCAGAGCTGCTGAAGCTTCCTGAAGTCAGCATCTCAAGCAAGGGGGAAAAACTCATAGGGTAGGACGTAGAGGGGAATGGTCATTTGCCATTGAGAAGTGATTTTTTTCAGACAATGGAAATGCAGTAGATGAATGTTTCTCAAACTGGGGTTCTCGGACCCCCGTGGGTCCATCGGCCCCACTGAGGGAGTCCTCCCCATCCCTGGAACAGGAGCCAATGGGTGGTGTGAGGGCTGTGTGCAGAGCCTCCCTGGCCACCCATGTGCCTGGAGCCGCAGGGTCATGGCAGGTGCCTCCTTTTTAGCTTCCAAATGTTTAGCCTCCGAGGGGTGTTGGAATGTAGCTGCATTGGTCTTTTTACAGACACGTCTCCCTCGGTAGGGTCTGTTCTTCAGATTTCAGTTGCCTTGCTAATGATGATGAGTGAAATTCTTTTAGCAAGTAATTGCATTAGGAATTATAAATGCTGTTCTAAAGCTCTATGAGAACTTCTGTCTTTGAGATCTTTCTGTCGTGCAACTCAGCTTGCTTTTTCCTGGAATGAGACTTCTGAGCCAAGCTATCTGTGAATGGTAATTGGGGATAGTTGTCTGTTAGGATTTGAGCACTCATTGTTCTGAGCGCAGTCTGTATTATGCATGTCAAAAAGGGAGAATCAAAATCTGATTCTTCTAAAGTCAAGTAAGTCCCTGAATTTTAAAAAAGGGAACAATAGAGAGGTATTAATGGCTCCTGTAGAACTGTATTCTAGATCTCCCGCAGGTTACAATAACATGGTTTATGTTGGCAAAGAGAGAGATTATGCTGCACTATTGTATTTTACTTGGCATTTTGATTACTCGGTGCTCATTTATAGGAAAGTGAAATATTAGTCTCTCACTTAGCTGAGAAATTTAAAATAATTTCAGTGAAACCATTCATTTTTATGTATGTTGTTTTTGGAATACTTACCGTTGTTGTAAATCAGACTTTAAACTCTGTTGCTGTTACCAGTTAAATAAGAAACGAAAAATGCCCCCGAAATACAGCATGGCTAAATGCTTTCCAAGGCCTTGGAAAGAAATCGCGTGTAGGCTACTGGGATGTGACTGAATAGCCTCAATCATCTGAATTATTCCCATTGGTTTACTGCAAAGCTATAGAATCTATTGATTTATTGGGTCCTGCCGTGAGGGCAGGGGACTGGACTCGATGACCTCTTGAGGTCCCTTCCAGTCCTAGTATTCTGTGATTGAGAATATAAGCAGGAGCTGTACAGTGCTGTATGTCAGGAAGTGTATGCATGGTGCAACAAGTAGGAATTGGCATTTGTAATCATAGTTGTCTGTTTGAATATGGAATATTGGACTCTCTCGTTCTCTCTGAGATGAGGTAGTAAGTAGTGAGCAGTTGAGTGTAGGGTTTCTGGGAAGTTATTTGGGTGGATGAACTATAGGCGTAGGTCAGCTGTACATAGAATAACTAGTGAGTTCAAGGGGATTTTTGCATTTTGGGCAACGTGGCACTTGGTTATGGCAGGGCTGCTTGAAATATGGCCTGTATATTTATGCTGTGCTGGATATCACATTGAGCAGCCCCAGCTGCTGTGTCTGAATTCTTCCAGGGTAGTGCTTTCTCCAGCTGTCATGGTGGAGCATTTGGGCCAAATCCACACCCATGTATAATAGGAGTCTTGGAGCTTCATACTGTTGGCATAAAAGTCTCTGATAAGCTCAGTTCTGTTGTTAGTATCAGAAACCAGGACGGCTCAGTGACCCTGAATTCTAGAATCCAGGCTGTTTTATTCTCTGCATGACCAGGCCAAAGGAAGAGTTTCCAGGATTCAAGGGCATTAATACCACTCCCTACTCGTTTTGTATTCTGGGCCTTTTTTTAACTGGTTGGCCATGACATTAAGATTTCTAATTAATTTAGAAACCACAGGCAGTTGAAGAGAGTGAACAATGTAATAACTGGGCCATCGGGCAGAGTAAAAGCACATCAATTA